CACACGACCTGACCTCGCATACCCTCTCAGCCTTTTGGCTCGCTACGTGGCTCCCGGTAGGCACCGAAAGGTGCACTGGGATGCTGCGAAGAGGGTGTTGCGCTACTTGTGCAGTACGTCGGGCATGGGGCTCGTGCTTGGAGGACGGGCTCGAGTTGTCCTCACTGGTCGCGCAGACGCCTCCTGGGTTGACGACTTGGCTACGCAGCGGTCGTCATAGGGCTACACCTTCAGTCTTGGCTCCGGCTCTGTCTCTTGGCGGTCTACCCGCTCGTCTTCTGTTCTCAGCTCTAGTTGCGAGGCTGAGATCTACGCTGGGGCCATGCTTGCCTTGTGTCAGGAGCACAGACTGGAGCACATAACGAATCACATTGCTCTGCACTAGTTCCTTGCTCGAGAGTTGCAGCAGCGTGGTCAGCTTCGTCTTGCTTACGTGGCCTCTCAGGCCAACACTGCTGATGTTTTCACCAAGGCACTTCCGCCTTGTGATCATCAGCGTTTCTGTACTGTTCTTGGCCTTGTACCTACTTTGCCTCACTTGCTTACGTCTTGACTCTGCTTGTACTGTACTCTATATACTTATACCTGCATGCTTACACTTGCTAGGTTGTGTTCACTGTATTGTTTATTCTCCTTTATATAACTCTGCATGTGAACTGGCCTTGTGGCCATTTGTTTGTGCTCAGACTGCGTGGTGACTTTGTGATCCACCTTGAGCTTGCTTTGCCTTTCTTGATTGGTCTTGTGACCCTTGTTCTCCCCCACTTTGCCTATGGGGGTGTGTCAAACATATCTGCTATAGTCTATCTAGGCTGTAGTGGGGTAGTCAATAGAGGGTACAACACTTTTAGCTTATCATACTTCTACCCACGCGCTGCCTGGTTCATTCATTCCTTCTGTTGATTCTGACAATCTGCTGCGTGGATGCTGACCACGCAGGCGATTCTGATAACAGGCGATTGCGCACCGGCTACATCTATCGATTTGAGCCCATCGGACCTATCTCGTGGCAGTCGAGCAAACAAGAACTAATTGCACTCTCCTCTGCTGAAGCCGAATACATTGCACTCTGCTCAGCCACCAAGGAAGGACTGTACCTTCGCGAACTTCTGGAAGAAGCAAAGCTGACTCAGTTACCCAGCTTCTCCCTCTTCTGCGACAACCAAAACTGCAATTCGCATAGCGAACAAGAGTGGGTTCGCGAACCGAACGAAGCACATTGCCCTACGCTACTTCTTCGTGAAGGACGAGATTGAGAAAGGGAGACTCGAGCTATCCTACTGCCCCACGTCCGAGATGGCAGCAGATTACCTGACCAAGAAACTTGGAAAGCAGAAGTTCGAGTACTGCATGCTGCTGAGTGGACAGGGCCACGTCACCAGCAACGGAGGCGATGACACTCCAGAAGCGAAGGGTAGTGTTGGAAAATTTTAGTTTACACTTCTGATGTATCGAGCACTATAATAAAAGAGAAGCATACTCACATCGAAGCAACACCGAGTCAACCAAAGCGGTTGACAAGGCGACAACAGCAGGAGGTTGAAACGAAGGTCAAAGGTCAGCGACCTTTGACTTGACAAAGGCAGCGCGACAGCAAGGACAAATAACTGACTCGCTATTGAGCAGTTACCCGAGTCGTCGCTGTATCGAACCGCAACAGCAGTTACAGTTAAACCCTTCGTATTCCTTGTAATCATATAAAACCGTGTATCTCTTTGCTATAATCAACTTATCTCGTTCTCACATACTAGTACAAGGTGGTTCAATTAATCCACTATTACGCTTCCGCTAAATACAGCACTACTCTGAGAGTTTAGTCTTGAAACGATCCTAAGGACTTTTTCAGCCCAACACGCCCCACTCGCGGCCCCCACTGTGGGGGAGGGGGGGGGGAGGTGGCGTGGACCCGGGGGGTAGGGGGGGGGAGAAGTTGCTCCGCCGCCCGCCTACTCCTCCATTTCCCTGCTGCTCGGGTGGTGGGTATGACCAGGCAGCCGCCCCTCCTCTCACTCTCTCATCTCTCTCCCTGCCGCCCTTGCTGCGGGGTTGGGGGGGGTGGTTGAGGGGGTGGTGGGAGAGAGAGCATCTCAACATTACCAGCCGCCTCCTCCTCCTTTCTCCTCTCTCTCACTTCCTTTTTTGCTCTTCCTCCTCCTCTTCCTCCTCCTTTCTCAATCGTCTCTCCTCTCCTTGTGTTCTTTGTTCTCGCCAGCAGCAAGCGAGCCAGCCATAAACCTTAATATGGTAGAAAATTAAAACTTCCCATTTGGATATCACACTGTACAAGTGCTTCATGAGTACGTCCAAAAGTCATTGAACACCTCGTCCCTGTATAAACGCATCTTCAATTTGCAGGAGCGTCTTTATATACAGATAACGATGCATTTCATGTCATGTGGTTGATCATATTTGTTTCGAATTGAGGATTGAAAGTACATGTATATATAACATATACAAGTTCAATTACAATATATGCTTCGTGAAATGATTGGGCAACTCAGAGGAGGGGACAGAACCGCATGCAAAGGACAGTGGATACAGTCGTAGATAACCCGAACAGATCAGATTTTGGCTGGCATGTATGTTTCACCCAGTCCCCTGCTGGAGAAATGCTGGTCAGAATCGAATTGGCCGTTGAGTACTGTCCTCTGTGAGCTGGCTAAATGCAGAATTGGCCGCGAATTTGGTTATTTTGCGATACGTCGCCCTCTCTTTTGGTTCGGATTGATTCTTTCGGAGGATAAGGCTGCAGCATTGAGGAGTGTGGGTTTCAACAGCTCTTTCCGTCGCCTCGCCAGGAGGGAGCTGTCTGACACAGTTGTACAAAACACGGTTGATGGATATGATTACAGCTGGTTCTTCTTCCCCAACAGTGAACCGAAGAATAGCAGCAGAGCTGGGAAATTTGTCTCCTTGTAACGATGGAACCAGGCCTGTCAAAGTCCCTGGGACCAAAACTTTGAGTCATGAGCTGATTGAATTCTCGCCCTGATTTTCACGGGCGCAAGCCAAATCTAAAACTTAAAATTCGGGATAGTTGGAAGGCGTACTTTCTCTAACGTAACAAAGATAGAATGTCGAGCGAAAGTACTTAGCAGCGAGAAGGAACATACCTACACTCATCTACACCTGAGGAGCAGCAACTCATATACAGCCTCTACAACGTAGGCAGAAACATCGTCAGCAAACATCGGGGTAGGCAAAACATCGGAGAGGATCGGGCAAAAACATCGGGGGGAGTTGGGTGTAGTTGGGGGGGGGGGGTTCCCTTCGAAACAGAAACCAAAACTTAGATACAGGGGAAGGCCCAAACAAGGCCCTTAACTGTCACGGGTGCCATGTGAATCTAACACTTTAAACGGTCGAGCTGTTCTAAAAGTAGCCCAGAATGTTCAGAACATTAATGAAAAATACCCGTACTTGGACAGCCCTGGATGGAACCTCCAGCGGTGCACAAGGACCCGATGTGTACAGTTCATTCTGAAGGAGCTCGTTGTTGATGAGGATGCTTCATCGTGTAGCTCGATGTGTACTGTTGACCGCCTAGGCGCTGTACTGTAGGCTTGGCATGGCAGCCGAACATTCCCCGCCAGGCTTGGATAGATTTCGTGCCTCCAGAAACAGTGTCATGAGACGGAAATCGCATGAGTTGTCCTCCTCTTCCTGACCGACCGACAGCCTGGGTTTCCTGCTTATCCACCCTCTGCTCCTGACACCTTTCTCATCCCTTTTTGGCTGCACTTTTCGTCGCAGCTGCCCTGAACGTAAACGGATGCTGCTGACGTGGCTACCCGACGGAGGGGCATTTCATGCACAACTTCATCCCCTCCCTCCACACAAGGGCTGTAGAAGCAAGGGCATTTTTCCTGAATGCCCTGAACATTCCGGCCTACGTTTCGAGCAGCTTGACCATATAAAGTGTTATATAGGCATGGCACCCGTGACAGTTAAGGGCCTCGTTTGGGCCTTACCCTGAATCAAAATTTTGGTTTCTGTTTTGAAGGTTCCCCCCCCCCCCCCCCACCCGAATTCCCGCCGCCATCCCCTCCCCCCCCAACCCCCACACCCCGATATTTTTGCCGACGGTGTTTTTGCGGACGATGTAGAGGCTGTAGGCGTGTAGATGAGTAGTTTGTGTGTACCTTTTCCGGCTAAGAGGTAAATATCCTCCTGTGTTACATTAGGGCCAAAGTACACTCTCCTAAGAAGCGCTGATTTCCAGTTTTGAATTTGGCCTACGCCCGTGAAAATCAGGGCAAGAATTCGAACAGCTCAGGACTCAAAGTTTTGGTCCCAGGGACTTCGACAGGCCTGCTCCACACTCCTGACCACCACACGGTTTTGGTCATCCCCCTCAACCCCGAATATGGCTCCGTCAAGCAAATGCCCCAGTGCCCGCCGCTCTTCCTCAAACGTCGAATCAGCTCCTTGCACCGCTTCGGTAGTCTGCCCGCCTTGGTTTCGTTGTTTGCCCTGCTTTCTCCACCCCACCCCACTGCCCGGTGAAGCGAAACCCTCGTCGGACAGGAGTTCCCAATGGGACGACCCGCTGGTGATGCTGGCTGCTTTGCTGGTGCTGCTCCCCCACTCCCCGCCCACAAACCCATCCTCCCACTACTGCTGCCTGCTGACCTCTCCAAGCCTGCCAACAAGCCCTCACCTCGCCTAATGTCGCTTCACCTCACGTCGCCTCAACTCTTAGCTCACAGTCACGAGGGTTTGAATGGATGCTGAGACATCAGGCTCACTTAGTTATCACTTTCATGATCTGTTTGCTGACGTGTAGTAGCTAGTAATCTCGACTTCAGTACTCGATAGTTTGTGGTTGTTGAAGCGGTGGAGTTTTGTCGGGTAGAAACTCTTGAAAGAGCGATTCAGCTGAGCAGGTTTAGGTTTAGGTCGAAGCTTTTGAGTGAGTAATGGCATCGCGAGATGGTGGTGGTGACATAATGGCATCAGCAGTAGACGATTTTCCGTCGCTGAAAGCCAAATGGGTAGTTATGCAGCATGCCGGCAAGAAGCCAGGTTCCATGTTCGATGACCTCGCCTTCGTGTGAGTTATTTCTGTTTATACCAACCTCTCCTGGTTTAGCTTGCACTTAGCCCGCATCCCTGGTAGTCTGGTCACGCTTTTTACATGTTTGATATGAGACTCGTCCGTCCATTCGTAGTTCACTCATCATTCCTGGTGACTTTCTCTGTGCAGCCCGGACCACGACCTCCTTGACACGGTATGGCTTGATAACCCTCAACAAGAATCTAACGGCAAAAAGGGCGAGAAACCGTGGCTGGTTGACCCTAAGGCCGCATCCGAGGAGCCTCCATCGACGGCTTCTGTTCGCGATGCTGAGCTGGACGTCGTCAACACCCAGCTGGCGGTGCAGGATCCGCCGGCCGCTCCTCCACCGGCCGCGTTTCGCGACGACATGGTGTCGTGGCTGCTGGACGAGGCGATCGACGGCACCTTCACGGCGGACGCGTGGCACGACTTCGCCGCCGCTGCTCTCGGCGAGGCGGGCAAGGAGATTCACAAGGACGCTGCGGCTGGTCCCTCTGACCCTACGGCCAAGCCTTCCTCCATTCACGCTCCTGCTCCCACGTCCGCAGAGGCAGACGCCTTTCACAAGTCCGCCGCGTTCGGCGGCGTGAAACCGGGCTTCAAGAGCTTGAGGCCCGAGCAAGCGATGGTGTCGCAGAGACCTGTCGGGCAGGGCCAAGCGACCGGGTGCGACGGTGTGGCGAAGAAGACCGCGCTGAGCAACATGGGCGTCGCCGCGCTGCTCGCGCAGAAGCGAGCTATCAGCCTCAAGCCGGCCGCCGTGTTTCCCGGTGGCATGTCGGATATGCGGATGAGCAGCGGCGGGGCGGAGAAAGGCGCGGGTATGATGGGGAAGGGGGCTAGTATCATGGAGATGTTCAGCCAGCAGTCGCAGCAGCTGCAGCAGGCGCAGGAGCTGCAGCACGAGCAGCTGGAGCTCCAGCAGCACGAAGAGGAGTTAGCCGCGCAGCAGCTGTTTCTGATGGAGCAGCAGAAGCTAAGACAGCAGCAGCTGAAACTGCGACAGGCGTTTCAGCAGCAACAGCAACAGCAGCAGCTGCAGCAGCTGCAGCAACAGCAGCAACAACAACAGCAGGAGCAGCAGCAGCAACAAGAACATCAACAGCAGCAACAACAATTGTTGCAGGAGCAACATCAGCAGCAGCAGCAACGGAAGCTGCTGTCGCAGCAGCAGTGTCAGTTGGTGAAGTTGGAAGCGAAGCAGACGTCCATGCGGTTTCACGATCAACCCAACGCTCTTCAAGGCAACTCCGCGCAGTGCGCCGCTCCTCGCGCCACGCCTCTCAACTTCTCGCACTTCTCTCTTCCCGCCGCCCTCTACGGCCGTTCGAACACCAAGTCCGCCGCCGCCCCCGGATCATCCGCAGCGGCGCCGCCCTCCAGCTCGCAAGGTAACTTCCGGCCGCCGGCTAAGGTGCCGGTGCTGCCCGCGAAACACGCCGCTCAATCTGCCCCCTCGCTTGCGCGCACAGGCGACCCTTCAGCGTCTCCCCCGCAAGCTACAGCGCAGCAACAAGCGCAACTGGCGGCCACGGGGAGCCCCACGGCGGGCGCTGCGAGCCAGTCGGGTGCCGCACGCGGGTCGCGGTCTCCGCCTGCCGGTGGCGCGTCCTCCGCGGCGCACTCTGCTGCGGCGGGCGCGCTTACCGCCGCCGCGACGAAGCCACTCCCGTACGCGCCGATCGCGAAGCAGCAGCAGCAGCAGGGCGCGGAGAGAATGCGCGGCGAGGCATCGGCGGACGCGTTTCACGCGTCGACTGTTACGAGCAACGTTGACGGCCCCGGCGCATGGGGCAAGCACGAGCGCGACGGCACGGGCAGCTGCGCCGTGGGCGGAGACGACGACGACACGATGGGCGCGCACAGGGAGCGGATGACGCGCAAGAACACGTGCGGAACGAAGGACTCGGGCATTCATCCAGGGTCGGGCGGAGGAGGTGGGGGCAGCTGGGGGAAGCGGTCGCGCGAGGAGAGCGAGAACATGGCGTTCGACGAGGCGGACGTGGCGGAGGAGTCGGCGGACACGCGCAAGACGAATACCACGGCGAAGCGCATGACCGTGTCGTGCAACGAGAGCAGCGCCACCAAGCGCGCTCGCGCCGCGGAAGTGCACAACATGTCGGAGCGGGTGCGTTTCTTGCCTGACCTGCTCCGCTTGTTCCGCTGTTGAGTACCTTTTACCATCCCTTCCAGACGATTATCTCAACGTTCAGTATGCTAACCTATGCTGTGATGTGGTGTGTGTCGTGACCCGCCGTGGCGTGCGTGCGTGCAGAGGCGGCGAGATCGCATCAACGAGCGGATGAAGACGCTGCAGGAGCTCATTCCCAACTCCAACAAGGTACGCCGCCCTCTCTCTCCCCTTTCTCTCGCCCCTTTCTCTCGCCCCTCTCTCTCGCCCATCTTCCATACTCTCCGTCCTCCCGTCCCCCCTTACCACCCCCCCGTTCCCACTGCCCCTTGCATCGTGTTTATTATGCTCGTCGCGTTTTCGCATGTTTCTACCTTCGTTCTGGCTGCTAACCAGGAGCCTCTGTTCTGTGCGTGCGTTGTGTGCGTGCGTGCCTGCCCGCGTGCCTGGTGTGTGCGTTGTGTGCGTGGGCGTGCAGACGGACAAGGCGTCGATGTTGGACGAGGCCATCGAGTACCTCAAGATGCTGCAGCTGCAGCTACAGGCAAGTCGCCCTCCACCACCCGCTCCCTCTCCCCCTCCATCGCCCGCCGCTCTACTCCCCCCTGTGCCCTACCCCGTGCCCCTCCCAGTGCTTGCCGCATTATCTCTTTTCAATCCCTAGGACGCTGTGTTGGTACGCGTGGGACTCCGTCCGCCTGGCCGCTCATTCTCCCTCTCCCCCTTCCCCTTCCTCTCCTCTCTTTCTCTCCGCGACCCCCCTTGTCGCGCGCAGGTCATGTCCATGCGCACGGGCATCAGCATCCCCTCGGGCCTCACGGGCGCGGGCGCGGCGCTGCCGTCGCTGGGTGCGGCGAACATGGCGGCGGCCGCGGCGCACATGGGGTCGTCGCCGCTTCCGGGCTCGCTGGGGATGGGGCTCTCAGGCATTGGCGCAGGGCTGGGCGGGGGGCTCGGGGGGATCAACGCGGGGATGGGCATGGGGATGGGCATGGGGATGGGTCTTGGTATGGGCGGACTGGGAGGCATGGGGGGGTTGGGCATGGGCGGCATGGGCATGGGCGGTCTTGGGTTGTCGGAGCTTGCTGGACTGCCAGCTCAGCAGCGGCTCATGATGGAGATGGCGTGTGCTGACCTGGCGCCGAATACAGCCGGGCAGGGTCAACTGAATGACATGTCGTCGGTCGCTGCGGCAATGGCTGCTGCCACGTCATCGCAGTCGCTGTCCCAATCAGCACGGCACTCGCAGCTGCTGTCACAGCTGCAGGCCGCGCAGGCAGCAGTGGTGGCAGCGGAGGGCGGCGCCAGCGGAGGGGGTGCGGGGCGGGACGGTGGAGGAGGGAGGGCAGCAGCAGGCTCGGCGTCAGCATCAGCATCAACGTCAGCAGCGATGGCGGCCGCAGCTGCAATGCTGGAGGGGCACCGGCAACGGGGGCCCTCTGTTGATCCCATGGAGGCTTACCTAGCACGGCACCAGCAGCAGCAGCACCAGCAGCAACGGCAACAACAACAGCAACAGCAGCAGCAGCAGCAGCAGCAGCAGCAGCAGCAGCAGCAGCAGCAGCAGCAACAACAACGTCAGGTGCGTTTCAGTGTACTTTCAATGCTACCTGAGAGACCTGCTTGCACAGAACCCTTGTAGCTTCTTTACCTGACAAGGCTGTTTTTGGAAGATGTGACGGTCTGGCTAACTCACCTGCCGCCTACCTCTCTCCCTTGTGTGCCTGCAGGCGTTCAATCTGGACATGTACCAGGCGTTCCTGCAGCAGCAGCAGCAGCAGTAGGTTAAGGTCAAGCCTGGCAGTTATGCGTTTTGTGGGATTCTCTGTGTGGCTGCTGTGGCATCATTGGGTGTGGTGTAAGAGGGTATTACAACAGCAGCGGTGGCAGGTCAGCATGCAGCTAATTGCTGCTGAAGTCACAAAAGGCTCGACAGGCCACTTCAAACATGAAGTGTGCGTGAGGCTACTAGCATTCTTCAGGTCTTCCACTGTTAATGCTCTTTTGGTAGTCAGCCATGGCTGTTCATTTCGAGTGCGTGGTGGGGTCTGCCATTCTTCAAACATGGCAAACACGGCTGCCATGCAATGCAAACACGTTTGTCTGTACTTAATTCCGCTTGTGCTCCTAAGTTTACCTTCTGACCTGTCAGCGTAGGGAAATACTGCAGTGAGTGTTAAACACTAGTCGCCAAGTTCTCACTGTATACTTCAAGCTAAAGTTGCGGTGTGCATTCTGGACAGCCAAGTTAGATGGGAGCAAGGGGATTGCTTGTGAACTGAACTTGTGGTAGTTTAGAGTGAATGATACCGATTTATGAAGTCTTGCGGGACTATCAAATCTAGATGTCTCAATAATATAGCAGTGTGTTGAGTACTTGGCTCTATGCAAGTTAATAGGAATTGTAGGAGAACGTATCAGAAATGGCAACTGATGAAGCTGGTAAGCAACAAACTGTGGGTGTTCGTGGATGGTATTGACTGTATGCGTTAACGAGGTCGTTGATGGCGATGGAAGGCTTGATTCTGTCATGTTGTGGGGGCGGGATGATGGTGAGGTGGGATGAATGAGGGCTTCTGTTCGGTGTCTGGCTGGGTCTGAGGGTGACTTTCTGCCCTTACCGCCGGCTGCCTCATACAGGGCTTGGGTTTGGAGAGTGATTTGCGATTGATTTGAGAGTGATTTGAGTGTACCGAGAGTGATTTGAGAGTTTAGACGATATCGACTCTCGACTGTGTGTGCTCTGTTTGCCACAATGCTGCTCAAGTTTTTTCGCTCCCTTTCCCCACTTTTCTCGCCCCCTCCCCGAAGAATCCCCAGCCGTGGACGCTTGCCCAATTGCGGCAAGTGCCGACGGGTCCAGGGGACCAGGGGGATGATGTTTGCTGGGGTCAAGGGAATATGGCGGAAGCTGGTTTGGGGGGTGGGGTTGTGGAGTGGGAGGGTGGGTAGTTGGGAGAGTGGGAAAAGGGATGTTCGGGGCACCAAAATCTAATTTCAACTCCAGAACACTCTTTTTAGGGCTGACCAGTAGAGACAACTCTTTGAAGTGCAATGCAGACGCAAGTGCAGTGCATGCACAGTTTCCAGTGTAGTTACCGCGAAGGTACATCCCCCTCCACCAGTCATAACCAGTTTTAACTGCTCACCCATGCGTGTTAAATGCCTAGTGAAGCGGTTGCAAGCGACAAACGAGAAAGCCGTTGATTCAGGTATTGCCACTAGTTGCTAATAAATAGCCTAATGACGTGTTGCGACCCAACAAGATTGGGCTGGGTCTGGTCGACCTTGTCGACCTGACCATCGCGGCTCGCATCCACAAAGAATTTCTGAGAAATTCTTTCACACCCTCGAAGCACCTACAACGCAATTGGCATCCAGCTTCCCTGCAGGTTAGGCGATCTGTGACGAGAAACAACAACTCGCTGGACCAGTGGTTACGAAGAAACCTTGCTTCGTTATGTTTTCAATTCGTAAGCGACTGTAAAACGAGATATGAGCGAGATTTTTGTTTTCGTTAGATCAAGTAACTCGTCGCAAACCGGTCGGGATGGTCGGGTTTACCTGGTCGACCCAACCTGGTCAACCCGGTCGGGAAGACCCAACATATTTAGATTGGGTCGAACTGGACGGCTTTTTCCGCAAAACAGCCTTCCTAGAAATGAGGTATCGGGGGAGGACGACCCGAACTCTTTGGCTCGCAACACGCCGTAAGTGCGAAGAGAGCATACTTCCACGTTGCCATTGATTGTGTGATTCCGCGATTGATGGTAGTGTTCTCAAGAACTTGAGAAAAAAATGGACCTTGGCTTTGGGTTGTTATTACCACGAGTAGGGACATATAGATATGACTTTCAGTGTTTCCTCTGGATGGAAAGGTAGAAAAGTTTACCCATCTTTTTTCGAAAAACACACTCCTCTACGTGTCTGGTAGGATTCACTGGAGCTTGTGGTGTGGTAGAGCACTGCTGCAACGAACTGCTGATGGCATGTTACCTACGCGTATCAATCTCTTGGCTCTGGTTGGACGCCCACCACAAGTGACACCACGCTAGGCAGTTGTGCTTCCAGAGAATGATTCTCCTCGCTTCTTTTGCACCACAAATGTAATTCGCATTTAAAACATTCCTGCCTCAATGATCGATTCGCTTCCTCGACCAACTGGTTCGGCCAATTGGCCTTCGTGGCACGATATTTCGGAAGCATTTGCCGTGTCATCCTCCTTTCAGGAACCACAGAATACTGGCGGGAAGTTGCTGATGCATAGCGGTTTGTGGTACCAACTCGTTTTAGATATCGTTGGGATAAGTCAGGGTGAGTTGGCAGGATAAGTGGCACCGCAGTGCAAGGGATCTGCACCGCGCGATGCGATATGCATTCATCTTCTATTTTGTCGCAACGCGTATCTTGTCCCAACGTGCTCTTCTGTTCCCCCTCTGCTCCTCCAGTGTTGCCCTCTCGCGCCTCTCTGCTACAAAGGCAACCATTCGGCTCGACATCTATCAACAACCATCTCCAACTAGCAGCTTTATCTTGTTCAGTGCTCAACCACTCCAACCTTCAGATGCCCCTGTGCTTCTTCCTTATTCCCCAAGCTCGTTTCTTAGCTTCCTTGAGAACGTAAAATAAACGTTATTACTTCATAAGATGGCTACCCCCTCCGTTCAGCCGCTCAGCTCAAAGATAATCCGCAGCAAGCTCGATGACGTAGAGATTCGCGCCTTGGAGGGCAAGCTCGAGCTACTCAACATCCAGCGCCAGCTCAGTGCCGTGCGCTGCGAAAACTTCATCCACATGCTCCAGACGTCTCTGCAGCACGGCGGCGACGACGACGACTTCTCTCTCGAGCTCGACGACTTCCCCGTCCGTCGCTCAACCTTCCCGTCGCGTCGCTCCTTCGAGGTCTCGTCGCGCCACTCGCACCTGTCGGACGACTTCGCGTACCTTGATGCCGGCGCGGATCTCTCCCGCTCCCGATCTAACCCCTCCGCGACTGTCCCCCTCACGCGCTCGCTGGGCTCACGTTCCGCGCGCTCCAGCACGTCGTCCCCCGGCGGGCACACCACGCGCTCGCTGCGCCGCCACGCGAGCCTCAACGTGCGCCGCAACGACATCTTCCGATGAAACCTTCCGCTGCGCAACGCGCCTCCCGCATCCCTTTCAGTCTAATGCTTCACCTGCCCGGCGCTGCCCGGCGCTGCCGGCGTCAGCCATCAGCCGACAGCCCTTTGCCCGTCAGCGCGGTCGCGCCTTCGCTTCCACAGCGCTCCCCGCCGAGCCCCAATCTTAGCGCTCCAAGCGCCCTTCTCGCGGCTCGGTCCTAAGAGGCTTCGTCCCGACGGTGCGGAGACGTCAGCTCGACGAGAAGCCTCATTCGCCAAGCGAAGACAAACAGAAATTGGTTCAACGGCGCCACTCACGAGTAATGCCAGCCGTTGGATCGTGATTTCGGCGATCACGGTCCACATGACAATGATCAGTGGACAACCTAGATGAGATCCAGAGTACCACCATTTATATGTCCATCTGCCGCTGCAGATGAAATGTGTTGCTGCGCATGTGAAATCTTGTAAACTTATAAATTGTTCAAAATAATTATTATTTCATCCCAGAGCATACAATGTGCCACCTCGTCAGTCCCAACATGGTGACAGCAAGCTGATGAAACAGCCGAGACACTGTCGCAAACGTTTAGGGTTCCGGGTAAAGATGTCCATCTGATACTATACGGCACAGCTCAGTGGGATGTACAAATAAGGGCACCTGTTTGGTTAGAGCTGTATGCGTTGTCCATCCATTCAACTGTCCACCCCGCTCCTCTCTGCACTCCCCAGGCTTTGGCCACTACTAATCACATGCAACTATCAACGCCACCATTACATGAATCCAGCAAGAATAAAACCAAAGCTTGCACTTGCACTGTTCCGAATACCTAAAGCTGAGCCGTCATTCCGGCAGCATGCCTTCAAACTGCTCTGTGAAGTCGAAGTCGCTCCCCTCACTCCCCTCCGCCTCCTCACCCCCCACCCCTGTACCCGCTGCCCCGCCCTTGCCCTTCCCTCGTGTGCTCCCCTCACCGCCCTCCTCCCCCGTCCCCTCCCCCACCAACTGCTGCTGCTTCTTACGGCGCTTCTTGTCGGCGCGGCGCCGGTGCGGGTTGAGGATGCCAGCTGCTTCATACAGCACCTCGTTCTGCCGCAGATACTCCCTCCCCCGCATCACACCTGCCTTCTCCGCTGCCGCCACCGCGTCCACGTCGTCCACGTGCATGCCGCCCACCTCTGCCGCCCCTTCTTCCTCGTCCTCTTCTTCCTCTCCCTCTTCGGCCTGCAGCAGCCAGCAATGCGGGGGAGGGTGTGTTAGTGTGGAATGGGCGAATGGAGGCGTCGAGCGAGGGAGACAGGAGATGTGGGGGAGAGGCGAGGGGAGTTGGAGAGAGCGAGAGTGGGTGGCATTGTGTTACAGACACATGTAGCAAAACACAAGCACCATCACCACCATCAAGAGGAGCAGCACCACCACCACGCACCTCGTCTGTAACCATCATGGTGGCCGGGGCGCTCGCAGGCAGCACCGCATGGGTACCAGCACCACCAGCACCCACTGGCGGACGCATGTAGCAATAACAGGCAGCACGCACCTCATCTGTGACCATCATGGTGGCTGGGGCGCTCGCAGGCAGCACCGCATGCCCACCCCCAGCAACCCCAGCACCCCCAGCAGGCGGGGCGAGCGCGCCCCCCTGGTGCTCCTGCCAGGCGCGCTGCTCGCTGGCCAGCACCTC